GGAGTAGCACAGAAGTAATACTCGATGCCTTAAAACCCATGACAACCTGTCCACCTTTTCTCCTTCAGCTCAGGCTGATTATTCTTGTAACAATTCTCCAGAACAGCAAAAGGTGTCTAAATTTGCTTTACTGGTTTTCACTTCAACTTATTATTTCTACTCTTTCAAGCCACTATTCCCAATGCTAGTGGACAGATACCTGATTTTCAAAGTAGAGCACTGGCCAACAGAGCTGATACAGCAGGGTGCTCTTTACATTAACAAATCATGTTTGTTTAGGACACATTTGATTTCATGACTCCACTGACTGTTGACAACTTTTCTAACATTCTCCACATAAGCCCCTATTTCATAAGCTCTGGCAAATTAAGAGGGAGATGCTGTAATTAATGTCTCAGATATCTGAGATATTTTCCATTTAATTCTGTAGTGATGCAACTAAGTCCTGAAGGAGAATAAACCCATTCATAAATGCAGTTAATATTGGCAGCTACACTCTTCGTTCACTTAGAAATCATTGGGGATAAGCTCTACTGTGATCAAAGATGGGAAAGATTGATTTTTCCATCTAAAACTAAGTGGGTGGTAGGTTCCCGCCTGGACTTGAGTAGAAATAACAACTAGCTGCTGCAGAAGCAGGAAGGCCCTCACCATGTCCAAGCCTGTTCCTCCGGCCCCCTGTGCTCACCACTTACCTCCTGCCGAGCATCTAGCTGGATCAGGAAACACAGAAAGCCAAAGGCAAAATCCAGAATGAATCGCACCTTCATAGCTGCCAAGATATTAGTCAAAGGTGGCACACTGACAGCTACACAACTAAAGCAGGGCAAATTTAGTCCTGATTCATCCTGGGCTATATGTGCCATTCTTGGGTAGGACTATGCTGATTTTGGGTCATGTCTTAGCATTGTTTCTGACTTGTAACTCTCTTAGCAGCACATTTCTGTGGTCATGGTTTAAATTATAGAGTTCTCTTGAATTCTGTGTAGAGAATCTCTACAGGAACTATTTGAGTCAGTCACATCTGTGTATCAATTTAAGATTCCATTTTTTTCACACACAACCAAGGAGGTAGGGACTGAACTATCTTGCATTTTTATTTTGAATGGGTGGGTTTATTTTATTTAGTTTTAGCTAGAACTATCGCAATGTTGGATTCTGCAGCTTTTCCTGAGCACTTCTCTAAAAGAGATGTAGACTTTTAGAAGAAATTCCCAGATATTGTGAAGACTAAACTGAAAGAGGAGAAATTTAAGTTAGAGATCAGGAGGAAATTCTTTAGTCTGAGGGTGGTGAGACACCAGAACAGGCTGCACAGAGAAGCTGTGGAAGATCCATCCCTGGAGGGGTTCACGGGCAGGTTGCATGGGACTCTAAGCAACCTGGCCTCGTGGGAGGTGTCCCAGCCCATGCAGGGGAGTTGGAACTCAATGATCTTTGAGGTCCCTTCCAACTTTAACCGTTCTATGATTCCAACTTTTGCCTGTTCTCTAGCAAGAGCTTAATTGTTAACTAAGACTAACACAAAAGCCTTTCTAGGCAAGCCTTTACCAGTTTGATTAACATGAATTCTCATGTATTCAGCAAAGCCTGTTTTAACCATGTTCAGTGAAGGCAGGGGATTCTTCATGTAGCACTTTTCCAACTACCCTGTATTTGGTCTATGCAGGATTTTATAAACAGAGCAGCATCCCACAGCTCATGAAAAGCTTGAGATTAAGTCCTTTAAAGGGCTGGAAGCCCAGGTATTCTGAGTTGCTGAGTTACAGGTATGGTGAGAAAAGGACACTCTTACCTCCTGCCGAGCATCTAGCTGGATCAGGAAACACAGAAAGCCAAAGGCAAAATCCAGAATGAATCGCACCTTCATAGCTGCCAAGATATTAGTCAAAGGTGGCACACTGACAGCTACACAACTAAAGCAGGGCAAATTTAGTCCTGATTCATCCTGGGCTATATGTGCCATTCTTGGGTAGGACTATGCTGATTTTGGGTCATGTCTTAGCATTGTTTCTGACTTGTAACTCTCTTAGCAGCACATTTCTGTGGTCATGGTTTAAATTATAGAGTTCTCTTGAATTCTGTGTAGAGAATCTCTACAGGAACTATTTGAGTCAGTCACATCTGTGTATCAATTTAAGATTCCATTTTTTTCACACACAACCAAGGAGGTAGGGACTGAACTATCTTGCATTTTTATTTTGAATGGGTGGGTTTATTTTATTTAGTTTTAGCTAGAACTATCGCAATGTTGGATTCTGCAGCTTTTCCTGAGCACTTCTCTAAAAGAGATGTAGACTTTTAGAAGAAATTCCCAGATATTGTGAAGACTAAACTGAAAGAGGAGAAATTTAAGTTAGAGATCAGGAGGAAATTCTTTAGTCTGAGGGTGGTGAGACACCAGAACAGGCTGCACAGAGAAGCTGTGGAAGATCCATCCCTGGAGGGGTTCACGGGCAGGTTGCATGGGACTCTAAGCAACCTGGCCTCGTGGGAGGTGTCCCAGCCCATGCAGGGGAGTTGGAACTCAATGATCTTTGAGGTCCCTTCCAACTTTAACCGTTCTATGATTCCAACTTTTGCCTGTTCTCTAGCAAGAGCTTAATTGTTAACTAAGACTAACACAAAAGCCTTTCTAGGCAAGCCTTTACCAGTTTGATTAACATGAATTCTCATGTATTCAGCAAAGCCTGTTTTAACCATGTTCAGTGAAGGCAGGGGATTCTTCATGTAGCACTTTTCCAACTACCCTGTATTTGGTCTATGCAGGATTTTATAAACAGAGCAGCATCCCACAGCTCATGAAAAGCTTGAGATTAAGTCCTTTAAAGGGCTGGAAGCCCAGGTATTCTGAGTTGCTGAGTTACAGGTATGGTGAGGAAAGGACAATCTTTCCTGAGGAGTGCTCTCTTTTACTTGACACTGAAGTCAAGGATTACTCCGTATCTCACTGGCATATAGTGCAACAGTGCAATATATGAGATGCAAACAGCACTGAGCTTAAGTTCAGTCTTCCTGGGCTCCCATTCAATGTTTATATATTTATCTCTTAAAAAGTTAAGAATTCTTCAGTGAGTCTTACGTCCGGACCTTTGGAGATGGTTTCTTTTCCATTCATTACTCTTACTTTTGCTCCTGTACCCCATAATGCTGCCACTTTCCTCCATTAACTCTGTTTCAGTGCAACAGGCTCTTCAGCTACAACTAAATCCAGGTTTGGGTTTGTGTTTCCCATTATGCAATTACACAAAAAGGACTGGAGAAAGCAGGCCAATACTATTTTAGCATTCTAAAATACTTTTTCTCTGATGCAAAGGTTGTTTTTTATAAGTCTGCTGTTTGATCCAGGAAATGTAACCAAATCTTACAGAATCCCTTGAACTGAAGTTCTTTAACTCCTTCAGTTGATTCTTGATACAACTCAGTGATGTGGTTTTCAGCATAATTTGTCTTCAAAATCTCACGAGGGAATACGAGATCAAACCTCCAGCCCAGTCAATCCTATGCTGACAGCTGGGATGGCACTTTCAACAGCTTCTAACTTGGAAAAAAGTTTCTCTGACTCATTTTCACTTCAGTATTTCGGCCTATTAAAACATTATGCATGTTTGTAATCACCAGTTGGGCTAGTAATTCTGAAATCTTTCTTATATATATTGATGGCAGATCGCAATAAATCTGAAGCTGAAGCATTTATTGCTTTTACTTTCAATAGCCAACAGTGATTCAGGGCAGGCTTAGGGTTGTGGGTCGATTTTGTTTGTTTGTTTGTTGTGGGGTTTTTTGTTTGTTTGTTTTTAAATCTTGGCTTTGTTCCCTTTTGCTGCAGGTACACTGCCAATTTCATGTTGCAAAAAAATTACAAGCTTTGTTTTTAGTTCATGACAAACTCTTCTCCCCAAATCCCTCCCCTGATCCTGCCTTTCCCCAAATCAGTTTTGTTCCTCTCCTTCTGAATTAGAATTTGCTAGTTCAGATAGAGCTCTTCCCTGCTCTCTCCATACTTCGCTGAGCAAACTGATTCACTGTTCCAGTTTTATAGATATGCTGTGCCAAATTTCTGCAGGTCCCCTCGCCACGAGGATAACTCTCCTCTAAATGTTTGATCATCCTCTAAGTGTCGTCTGTGATGTTAGCCTTCAGCAAGGCACGGGCTGCTCCTCAACAGCACCTTTTGAGTAATATCCTCCCAGAGACCTTCTATCACCACCAGATGGAGTAATTTCGGGTTCACAATGCATTTTCACTAGCAAAAGAACTCTTAATTTTAAGGGTGAACACAATCTTCCCTTCAAGTTAACACCAAGCTCCAGTGTAGAAAGAAAATTTCAAGTTTATATACACACAAAAACCACTGCCGTGGCAAACTCTTGACCCTGGGAATTACTTACATGGCAGCCTTAACATTGATCAATAAAGAAGTACAAACAGTCTGACAGAATCAAGAACAAAGAGAGGAGTTCATTGAGGATATCCCAGAGAAGAACTGCTTTAAAAGGCACTAAAGTACAGGCTGAGGTGGCAGGGTCAGCAGTGTTCTACTGACGGGGTTCAGATGCAGTGGTGACGGGGCAGGACCACAGAGCAGCATCCCGCTATGCAGCACGGGCCGTGCAGACCCCGCAAGAACCGCTCAGCGCTCTGCGTGGTCAGGACAGTCACAACCCTGGCAACTGTGGGATGAGTCCCAGCGGGCTCAGAGAGAAAGAACTGAAACGCATTAGCAAACCTGCCCAGAGGCACAGGGTTTACAAACACAAACGCAGCAGCAGCTGCCCGAGTTACAGCCTCAGAGGTGAGCATTCTGCCCCTGGAAAAGGTGCAGTCAGCGCAGGCAGCACAGGGAAAGGGCATGTTAAGACCCCAGTGACAGAAAACGCGGCTACAGGAGAGAAGGCCGGGGAGCAGCTGAGCGCGCAGGCCGGGCGCGCCTGCGGGCGGGCAGGGGCCTTTGCTCCCGAGCGCAAGAGGATGCAAAGCTGAGCAGAAAAACACCCGAGATGGGAGGAAAGCGAGACAGGAGCGGCCGCGTGGGCGATGGCGACAGCCTGGCAAGAAAGGAAGAACTGTCCGTGGTTGGGCTGCGAGGGAAGAGTCCGAGGGAGGACGCAGCTGCCCCGGCAGCTCGGGGCCGCGCTGGGAGGAG